ATGTTCTTAGGCTACCCAGAGGATACTTGGTCAAAGACCGGAAGTCGTGAGCTGCTTGAGTCATATGTAAAAGAATCGTTTCTGGCCACTCCCACGTGAATGGCGATCAGAAAACTTTCCTCACTTGCGTGAACTTCTACACATGACTCCATCCTCCTTATTCTTACAAAGGTACAAAATCTTTCATCATATCCTTAACGTCCTTGGTGGCATTTGGCAACAGATTTACTTAGTGTTGTCGTTCATGCGCGTTCTGCTCCGTAACAGTTATTCACACAACTAACTGGTTTTTGAGTTTTGCACTCGAAGACATTTGAAAATTGAAACTGACTGTTGGAAAATTAACTTCATGTGGGCGCTGAAGTGTATAAGATGTAAAGATGCTGCACTCTTGCCACACTAATGTCACTTGACTGCCGCTGCTGCTGCTGCAATACTATGGGGATGTCAGACAACATGGTTGCGTTACTCGCATTGCGGTACATCACGACAAACAATAACTGTACTTGGTGAGCTTAGGTTTGCAGGGTTGCACCGGTGCTGTGTGTGCGCTGCGTCAAAATGGCGAATGGACCGTATGAATGCACCGTGCATTCAGTTAGAAAGTCAGTCACCAAAGCAATGGCGCGCGGCAGTGCAACACTGCAACGGTGCAACGAAGCATTCAGCCACCAAATTACGTCAATGACGTTGTCGAGTGGTGCATGCAACATCATACGCTTCCATACACCTACCATTCACTAAACGAACCAAGAAGATTTACAAGCATCTTCGATATTTCAAGTATGGAATGTTAAACTTCACAACAGTGTGCCGAGTTCAAATACCCAAGCTGTTGTTAAAATGCGTGCAGTGTAGTTTCATAAAAGCCAAACGCACAAACACACACACCCAAAACGCTGGTGTGCATTTTAGCAGTTCAACGCTTGACTTGACGCTCACTTCCCAGCTACGCTCTTGTTTACCGGGCCACTTACGAACGGCATGTGCCCGAGCGTCGGCACACTTCACCTCACCAAACACCGTAAGTACCTAATATATGCCTGTCTGTATGTACGTATTCCCGCAGTACAACAAATTTTCACATTTTTTGAACTTACCTTCCGCTCCGTTTATCAGGCCGCTGTTCAAGCTGATGATGTTACCGTTGCCATTACCATTGTTTTTGTTGTTGCTATTCGCATTACCGTTACCTAGGGCAACGCCTGCAGCATCGCCCAGCGCTCCGTTGCTGCTGAGCGTGTTGGCGCTGCCAAAGAAGGCACCGCCAGTGCCACTCAGACCGGCGTAAATGTCATTCTCCTGCATTTGATTTGTGACGTGATGGGTCTCCTTGGCGCGCACCACTTCGTTGAGTCCTTTGTTTTGATGGTTCGTTGGCGGTTTGCGGCGCGGCTTCGGCGTGGTGTAAACGTGAGGTGTTGGCGTTGTTGTCGGTTTGGGCGGTAAACGCAGTTCTGCAACAAATAGTGTAAATTGAAATTATTTCTTATTTTCCTTCTGCGGGCTACTTTCGTAATAATTTATTATATTTTTTACAGTTGTAAGCACAGTGAGTTAATTGCAGTCGAAATCATGTAAGATATTTTACAAATTTTACAGCTAAAGCGAGCTAAAATACCCGGTAAAGGTCTCTCAACGGTTTGTATCCAAGAAAAAATATTTTGCTTGTTCTTTCTTGTCATGTTATTTGTTGTAAGCAATCTTTAAGTCTATATTGAATACGGAAAAATGATATGGTAGGAAGATATTTATGTTGATCTTGACTGGTAGTCTGTATTGAAGCTATAGGCTATAGTGGCCCGATGACAACAATCGGTTCGAAGGTTGTAGCGCTGCTTTTAACAAAAGGCTATGACAAAATTTCAAGGATGTACATATATATTATTATCATCATTTAGATAGGTCAGTTTGTATGTCTGTGTTATAGTGATCAGATATCGGCGCTTACGACAAATGAACAGTTTCATGAGAAAATAGGATATGTATGAAATTTCAGATCGATATCTCAAAAGCTGAGGGGTTAGTTGGTTTATATACAAACAGACAGACATGGCCAAATCGACTCAGCTCATTCCGCTGGCCAGTTATGTATATATTTTATAGGACTCCGACGCATGTTACATTATGGCAAATATGAATTTTCTTAAGTGGCCGTGGGGGCGGCGATTATAATCTAGAAATACCAATATATAAATCTTTGGAACTGACATAAGGGCAAGCTGTCGAGAAGTGTTACATTTTTTATTAATTATATAACTTACTTATGATAAGGGGAAAGAAAAACCCCCCAATATAAAAAGATGTAATAGGACATATGCAAGTGTTACGTTCATATTTTTTTGCGGCTTAAAAGGGGAATTGTTATAAGACTCAGAAGCAAAAGTGAGCTCAACTCGTTTTTAAATTTTTCCGGTAGAAAAAAAACTGGAATTATATTGAAGAAATAATAGCTTGCTATATCCAAACATAAATATTTTGAGACAAAAAAGACTTTAAGTTAGTCTGTTTCGTATCTAATTCCAATGAACTTAAATACTGTTCCCAAAAGCTTTAAGTCTAGAATATAAAAATGATTCGCAAAATGTGTTGTTAAGCGCATAACTCAAGAACACCTGGACCAATTATTTTTTTCATTCGTTGAAGTTCAAAGATGGTTTTTACGGCGTGAAAAAGCAGCGCTTTTTTGTTAGTAACGCTAAGGCTCAAGAACGGCCGCATTAATCTTAATGAAATTTTCAGAGGTTGCTCGCTGTGGCTTGGGGAAGGTTTAGAAATAAAAAAAACCTTACACTTTCCGTGAGGAAAAGTCGAAAAATTAAAAAATTCCAAGAGTAACTTTTTTCCATAAATTTTTTTTTTAATTTTTGTTGTCCGACCTGGATCAGTGAAGGTTTAGAAATAAAAAAAAACCTTATACTTTTCATGAGAAAAAGTCGGAAAATTGAAAAATTCCAAAAAGTAACTTTTTTCAATTTTTGTTTGTTTTGTTTTTCAATATTTTGATATGTTTTTTATTCCGGCTATTCAAAAGAAAAATTAATAAAAATTATTCAGTGAAAACTTTATGTGTTTATGTTTCACACAAAGTGATCCATTGCAGATTGAAATTTGTTACAAAGCCACGAAGAGGTCGCCCTAATATCGGTCGGCGTACTTTTTGCCATCAGCGTATGGCAGCCTAAGCCACATGAGCGAGTACTCCCAAGATGCGATGACATACGTGTGAAATTATGGATCGAGGTCAATCAACAAGACTACCTCGATGTCACAGCACGACTTTTCAAACAACAACTGCGATGTTTGATGGACTTTATCTTTAAGCAACGTTTGTGTATATGGTGCTGCTAGATGCTGGATGTACTCTGTTGAGTTACAAAAAAGAGGTTTCCTGCACGCACACATTCTTGTCTAGATGGTGGATGGTGGTTACACCATGATGAAATCATCACATTGCGGACACAACAATCCCATTTCGGTTTGTACTCGTATGTCTGACAATAAATGCACGAAATACTATCCAGGTGCTTTTCTTTCGGAAACGCAAATTGGAAATCATGAATATCCACTTTATCGACGTAGCTCACCAGAGATAATGACAGAACATTTAGCATTCAATTTATAGGAGTGAATATCGAGGTCGGCAACACATACATAGATCGTACCATATTCGCCACTGTTGTCTGTTGGATCTGTTATTGTTATGTTTCGCTCTACTGATTGTGACGCAGCTATAAAATACAAGGGGGCAGAATGCTTGATTCTACGAATTCCTTTGAGTTCCAACGATTTGCCATTTCAATTTGAACGTATTCAGTTTCCAGTTTGCATTTGCAATGACAATGGCGTGGTCACGAGTTGGAAAACCATCTTCTCTGTACATTGACGCAACGGAACAGAAACCAAAAAATGTTGTTTATCAAGCTGCGTTACATTGAAAAAAAAGTAGAAATATCGTAATACAAAACCTGCGGGGCCAGTTAGTTTAATTTATAAAAATACAATACAGTATACATTCCTTAGTTCGCTTCGAGAAAGAACTTTACTTTGTGTCTGAATTTTGTAGTAGAGATAAGTGGAACTTCCGTTATATACAAAATACAATATTCAGAAAATCCGAATTTAATCGTAATGAGAATATTATATCATTCAACTTTACATTTTTGCATATAAAGAATTTAAGACTTCACTTTTTGCACAGGTGAGCTCCAAGTGAGCGCCAGTAAAGAACTCGATAGATTTGATAAAATTGCTAAGTTTTCTCCCATATTTTAAATTGTAACTTTCGGAGCCGCGGAAGATACAAAATTTTAATGGGCTTGGGTTAGTAGTGCTCATCCTCGCTTCAAAGAAGAGAATAGGTTAAAAAGCTTAATGCTTCCAAGGTGATTTGCAAAACGCCTAAATATGGACCACCAAACGAAACGCCTAACTTCTCCAGGTTCGTCGGTGTCCGCTGAGTTGTTCCGACCTATGTCTGATGAAAACTGGACAGTTGAAAAGAAAGTGTCCAAATGATTTCACCTTGACTTCTTTCTTACTGCTTGGTCATGAGATGAAACTTGCTAAGCATGCGTATTAGAGGATCTTTTAAGTTCTACTTTGAGCCGGAAGGATTCGCTGCCGCACAAGTTATGGTTGCTGACGATAGATTCAATACTTATTAGTTTAAATTGCCCCCTATGGGGCCCTTCTTAGAAAGATCATATGATTTGCAATTTCCAGCTAATTCGCTGTGACCCGCCAGCTTGAGAAGACGGATAATGTTGCGATTGTTAAAGATATCAAACACGCCTTAAAAAATACTGAGCTCATTGGCAGTATCGCAGTTTTGAAATCACAGTTCTTTGAAACAAGGTGTACTTGGGCGTAGTACATCTACTCTATCTTGTCGACAGTTTAGATATTCGCAAAAGTAAGGTCCGTTTCATTTCTGTATTATGCTTATGTTAGTTAACCAAGTTTCTGTGGTGGGACCTCAGGGAGAAAGGCCTTGTGTTGACACTTGTCCCTTTACTCAATTTCCTTTTTCCTAAAAGTGGGTGTTCATGATCACTCCATCACTCAAAGCTTTTTTTTTTTGTGTTATACATTCCACATTGATAGTGACGTATAGTCATGCGCGGCTGATAGATACTGAGCTTCTGGAGCTGCGGACTATGTGTAATGCTTAATGGAACTATCAAAGAAATTGTGGAATGGAACGTCGTTAGCGCAGTCTTTACCTTAGTTAAAAGGACGGTGTATTATAAGGAAAATTTGCTTGTGTAAAGCATATAACAACGTACCACAGCAGGCAGAAGGTATAAACCACTTTGCTTCAATATGAATTTCATCAATATTTCGTAGAATTATTCGGAAAACCCGCTTTACCGCAAACTATAATTTCGCATTTCAAGCCAGTTCGCCCAATTATTGGCAGACAGTTTTATTGCCCCGCAGCGTAGCTATGGTACATATGTAAGTACATTGGTAACCGTCAGCCGTGAGCTTGACTTCTATGGTTCTTATTTCTTCCTTCCTGCCTTTCGTGCTTGCCTCAGTGGTTGCGGTGGTTTTATTGCATTTCTGTGAGTCATGTGGTTTTTCGGCTTCAGTCATTTTGTGGAAATGTTATTTCCTGCGCGTTGGTGGCAGGTTAAAAAGCAATCGCACCGCAGCTCGACACGACACGGCTCCCCCTGCAGGTGATTGCAGTTGCATTGCTTGAAGCGAAATCACCGCAAGCCGAGGAAATTTTCACCGTCACCAGCATTCCATTATAATTATATGGAATAAGAAGATTATTTTTACGTGCACGCATATGTACATATTTGTGTGTGGATTAGTGTGCGTGGGTGTTTGCGCGCGATGGCGATGAATTGACGGAGAACGATTTGAGCAACTGACAAATGTGAAAATTTCCGGTTGAGCTGTTAAGAAGTTGTTGCTGCATACTTCAATGTGCACTCACTCACAGCCGTACTAAAACGTATATATGTATATACAGCTGACAGTTTAAAGTTTGGTTTAACTGAAAACCTAAACGCTCTAAATTGGAATTGAATTAAATTTGAAAGATAACTGATTAAGGTGTGATAAGACTTGGTATAGTTTTTGTTATTAAATCTTAAAAGTCTAGTGAAAACCACAATTTATGTTTCCAATGGATGGTTTTATAAACTGTTTCTAGGTATATGTATAAGTGCGATCTGGTCACACTATTATGAGATTAGATGATATTAGCCAAGAGAAAATATGACATATTTTACAGATTTCTATGATAAAGGTGAAAACGAAAGCCAGGCTTGTGAAAATGTAAATAAAGTTTTTGGTCTTGATGTAGTTATTCAATTCACTGATTTGATTCCGCTAATTTTGATGTCAAACATTAACCACGCTTTGAACGCTTAATTATCGCAAATATCGATAAAAATATGGAAATAGTCGAGACCGATCGTCATGTGAGTATTGTTTC